AAAAAAAAAAAAAAAAACTTTTCATTTGATTGTAATGTAGGTTCTTTGGGTAGGGTAAAAAAAATATGGGTTAAGTGACGAAAACTTGAGCATCTAGAACTACAAAACATGAACTTCACAACATTATCACCTACCAATCAAAATCAAGCTCATCAAAATCAATCCATACCCCATTTCAATCAACTCTCAAGCCATATAAGACTCCAAAATCCAACTACAGTCTTTATTTGAGTCAGTGCTAAAATATAATCAACTACACATACTCTTTTTTTCTTTTTTTTTTTCTTTTTTTTTTTTTTTTTTTTTTCTTTTTTTTCTTTTTTTTTTTTAAATTTTTCTGACTCTTTCAACCTTATTCAACTTACACCATCACATTCTCCCGTCCACGTCTTCCCTTTATCCACACCACAACAAAACACTAATCCTACTCACATCAAATAATCCTAAATGCTCAAGTAGAGGACAATGAGAAAATATAGATATAGCTCAATATGTGGCATTCAAGAAAATAGGCAAAAGCTCAAATGGGCTAACTAGGGAATAAAATATCATTTGGTAAGCTAAAAGGTCAAGAATAGGCTCAAACAAAAATATGCCTTAGATTATTTTCACAAAAATGCACACACCATGTGGTCTCGACAAAGATACCAATGCAAGTTCTAGAATTCAATCAACAATGAATGATACACTCAACAACAAAAATAAGGCTCAAAAACTCACAAAGGATCATATATTCATGAATTAAAAGCATCAACCACTCATTCAAATTCACAATTCCATCAATTTTCAAATTCCATCACTTAGCACATTATGCCCGAATTATATATCAAATATGCACAAGAAACTTATCAAGGCTAATCAAAGTCGACCAACTACGACAATTCAAATCCTAAGAAAGCAATAAACGTGCTAAAGCAATAAAGCCTAACATGAAACTAAATGATATGCAAGATAATGCAAGATATCAGATTATCTTCTCTCTAAGATTCTCAAATCAAAATATCACATCTCCCCCCTCCCCCCTCCAAACTTGAATGAAATGATATGAAGCACATAAGGGAAGAATAGAATTTCAATAGAAGTAAAATAGAGACGACTCACAAAACATTACTGGAGAGGTGACAACTTTTGGTATATATCTCGAAACATATTCTTCGTCATGTAAATCTCTCCATGTATTGTTCTGCAAGGAAGAAGAACAAAATATCAAACAAACCAAAGATATAACTAACTAAAAAGAAATAAAAAAATAAAGCAGTAAACATTAGGTTGCCTCCCAACAAGCGCTAAGTTTAACGTCTTCAACCAGACGAAAAAGTCTATTAGGGAACTCTAAATAAGGACTTTGATGATCTTCTCGTCCTTTTAAGTTTGACTTTCTTCCAGGAAGGACTCAATACATGAGAGAGCATCATGGTCCCGTCATAATCACCAAGTTTACCATCACAATATCTCTTAAATTTCAGGATGAAGATTTCGACCTCTTCATCATATGGAATGACAAATTCAATTTTTAAACATTCAGAATTAAAGAATTCTTGTTGAACCACCCCTTCAGTGAGAATAACTTTTAGGGATATTTCGAAGATGACATCCTTCTCTTCTTCATGTTCTTCGGCAACGGCGCCAAAACTTGTTCGCCTATATTTTTAAAGCTCGACCGCAAGTGTACGACTTCGCTCGTAGTATGTGGCAAGCAAGGTCGTATCCCAAGAGACCAAATAATTAATATATCAAGTATTAGATTATGATAATGTCAATTTTATTTAGACGATCGTAATTGGATGAATTAGCTAAACTAAGAAAATAAATCAACGAGAATAAAGCAAAAACAATGAATAAACTAAAGAACACGTAAGACAAATATATGGGAATGAGGGATTCTAAGATTGAGGGTTCAATTAACAGTTAGGATTCTTCAGAAATATCACAATTAAATGTTTTATTTATCTACCCTATAAAATGATCACAAATTTAGCATATTGTCCCTCTCGAGATCGATAAAACCGTAGATTAAATCACATATATTAGCGTCTCCACTCAACACATGCAATTCAACTCCAAATAGATTAAAAGATCTAAAATCCTCAAAATTACCTACTAATCTCTCGATTCAAGCAAGTAAATTATGTCAAATATTAAAGACCTAATATTGAACTCATCTCTCGAATTATGAACAATATTTTCAAACCTGTAAAAGAATTGATCAAGTTCTAAACATGGAATAAAGAACAAAATACTTGAATAGGGTTCAAAAGAAAAACACTTAATTATAAATAAATAATCCAAATCCCAACATGTTAATCTACTACCAAGTCTTAGAATCAATAAATCTAGCCACTCATGTTCGAATTCAAATATATCGACATATTAGAATCAACATGATCAATAAAAGTTCAAGAGGAAAGAAGAAATAAAAACTAGGAATCTCGTCGATCTTTCAATCTCCTTGATCCCTTCGTAGTTGATCCTCTTTTTGCTCTTCAATTGCTTCTCTTGTGTGTTCTAGGGCTCTTCTTCTTGCGTATTCACCTTCTCCTCTCAAAATAGGGTAAATATGCCTTTTTATATGTCCAAAACCCTTCTCCTTTGTAAAATAGGGAAGATATAAAAATCTGTCTGCGCACGCGATACGGCCAGTCTGCCCGTGTCATTGTCCGTGTTGCTGCCCGTGTCAGGTACCTGGGCCTCGAAATGTCTCTGTTGAGGTGACACGGCCACTGACACGGGCATTGTGCCCGTGTCACTGCCCGTGTCACAATTCTGCACTCTACTTTTTGCTTGTTTCGCTCGTTTCTTCCACTCCTTTCATCCGTACACCAATCTTTCATCATCCCTGGGTTCCTATGTACTCACCATGCGCCTCCAATAGCATAAATCTCTACAAATATGTAGAAAATATCTACAAAGCAAGCACATGTAATACCTTTCCAACAAGATATAAAATTAAAGCACAATAATGCAATTTATACACCAATAATGCAATGACTAAGCTCTAAATACTCTATAAATATGGTGTAAAATCACACATGAACACCAGAATAGAAACTATGTATTAATTAAAGCAGTAAATGTATCTGTGGTGCCGGATCTAATTACGAATTTTCTGATAGTTTCTGGACTGGGCTCCGTGGGTCCATCCTCGTCCGTACGGATGGATGTCGTTTGTTTCCGTTGCAGTAAGGGCTGGTTTTGATGTTGTTCTAGTTTTTGTTGGTTTTGTATGTTTTTAGTTTAGTTTTGCTTATGGGTGTTTTGTGGGTTTTGTTGCCTTGTGGATTGTGTTTTGTTTTCTCCTCTCTCGGAGAAGCATGTTATTCTCTTGCTGGGAGCTTGTGTTATTCTTCTGTTAGAAGCTTTTATTCATTTTTTCTTTTCGTCTTATAGTGTGTGTTTTGGTATTTAGGCTGCCTTGGGTAGTCCTCCCATTCCAACTAGTTAGCCAATTGTAATTATGTGTTCTAGTTAATGAATCTGCCGTTTCGGAAAATAAAAATAATAGATATATATTGATTATTAGAAAATATCAATATTAATTCTTATTTTTATTTTATATATATAGTAGTTCAACACATAATTTATACATAAAATTAACTCGTTACAAAATAACTGGCATTTCATAATTCTTATTTATAACTAATAAAATCAGAATAAATATATTTAAACATCATCAATAAATAATGCTCACAAATATACAAATTTATCGATGGTAGCGGTTTATCTTGATATAGCCATAATGTGGAATACCGGTTCAAGTACCAACTGCTCGACCAAATATCGAATCGGTATGACCAATTGCCCAATTCGACGTCCCTGAAGTCGAATTCTCCCACGAGCTACCTAAGGATTGCCTTCAGTCCGTTAGCGGCTCCGAGACGATTTACTTAAGTCGACTTTTGTAGTCGACTTTCCTTTTAAAGACGAGCAGGCGGAGCGTAGTTTCCAAAGGCTCGTACATGACCTAAGTCGACTCGACGACACTCGAAGACGACTTATTCTGCCTCGAGGCACCAAGAGCTCTGACGACTCCTATACACTTCGACATAGCACAAGGGAACCTCCGAACAGGGGCTAATCTATATGGGATAAGAAGGAATCTGGATGCTGACTAAGAGGTGGATGGGATGCGAACCGACCAGGATATTTCGGACATTTCGTGTAAGTCAGCCTGGGCATTTTGGGTACTTCAAGTAAGTGTTTAACTTCTATATAAAGAGAGTGAGGTAATCCCAAACCCTAACTTTCACACTCCCCATTCATTTTCTCTCAGCTGCTGCTCCAACTGAGCAAAGCTCACTTCATCACTCTCACTGACTTGAGCGTCGGAGGCTCTTCACATGAAACACTTCTGGTGTTGAGTTCTTGCAGGTGTTTGCAGCTGTTCAAAGGAGATTTCAAGGATGGTTCGAACGGGTCGAAGCTCTTCACCATCAGATCTCTTCAGATCTAGGAGGAGAACCATCGAATTGGCGTCGTCTGTGGGGAGTTCTTAAGAGAAACAAGAGCTTTACACCTAGTTCTGATCTGTTCGAAGATAGCCGAGAGGGAAGGGTTGCAGAGGAATTTGGATGAGGACTTCAGAGGAGCATGGACAGACAAACGCCCTCCGCTGATTCCCAGCCCCAGACCACCACTTCAGGTGCTCGGCTTTCCACCGTTTCGAGGGCACGCGCCGTCGGGAGTGCGTACGGAGGAGGAAACACCCATTACCCTGCCTGGGGTAAAAATCCCATTATTAACACAAGAAGGACCTAGTAATGTGAAGGGAGCAAGTATGGGATTCGACGGGCGAGAATCGACAGAAACATCCCCGAGTCTTGGGAGGCAGGCAGGAGAGGTGACGAACCAGGGGGTGAGACTACCACCCCAGGTTGAGGAACAGACACTGACAATGACGAGGAGCGAATTGCAAAAGATGATCGCGGAAGCAGTGACAATTCAACTCAAACAGACCCATGTCGAGCAACCTAGGGTCGAGCAACTTAGGGTCGAGCAACCTAGGGTCGAACAGCCTCAAATAGAGCAGCCACACGTTGAACGTGAGCAGCAAGCCCAGTCGAATGAACGACACAGTCAGAGAGCAGACGAGGAGGAGTCCTCAGTCAGGACTATCAATCCCCAGGCGAGGAACGATACGCTAGAGCAATTGATGGCTCAAGTATGCGATTTGCAGGCTCGAGTGGAGGGGATAAAAACCGGGAGCTCGAGAGGGCACCCGTTCTCGCTACACATTCTGGACGCCGACGTGCCATAAGGATTTTGAGAGCTTAACATTTGGTATGATGGGTCGACTGATCCCGCTCGGCATCTGCGAAGTTTTAAAAATATGGCAATGCTACATCGCTACAATGACCCTGTCCAATGTCGAGCATTCTTAACGACTCTACGGGGACCTGCCCAAGACTGGTTCCACTAACTGCCTCCAGGAGCCATCAAGAACTTTGATGGGTTCAGCTTGAGTTTCCTTAATAAGTTTGCAAGTGTCAAAAGCCAGGAAAAGTCGTACTTTACTTTGATAGGTATGCAACAGAAAGAAGGAGAGTCATTGTGGGACTATGTGGCAAGATACACACGGGCTTATGTGGACGTGCCCTCGGCCCTAGAGGAAATCAAGTCGGGAGGACTGACTAGGGGACTACTACCAAAGTTGTGCAGAAACTCTTTAGCAAAGCGACCTGTTAAAACATTCGATAAAGTATTGGGGAGATGTGCGAAGTATGTGAATATCGAGGAAGCAGAGGCCGACTACCTGCATGCGCAAAAACGAAAATTGAACCTCGAGATGAGAAGAAGGACAAAAAAGCAAATCCGTCGGGAGAAAGGAAAGGATCCCCAAAAGCAGAAAGAGAGGGACGATCTAGGGGATGGAGGCCGACTTAATACACCCCTTTGTTGGCCCCTCAAGCAAGAATACTAGAAGTAATGAAAATGGAGATCCACGATAATGTTGTCAGATGGCCCAGGACGAGGAAGGACGGACCAAAAAAGCCCTAGAGTAACTTGTATTTTCGATTCCACAAGGACTACGGGCACAACACTGACGATTGCAGGCACCTCAAGGATGAGATCGAGAGGTTAATCAAAGTTGGCCACCTGAAGGAATTCATATACAAAGATTGTGAATGGTCGAGTAGAAGGAGAGAAAAAAGCAGGAGCCCTCGCAAGAGGGCAAGATCGCCAGAGAAGGGGGAACTCCCACAAAAAAAGGGGAGTAATTCACATGGTATTTGGTGGGCCGACCGACGGAGATTCAAATCGAGCAAGGAAACTCGAGGTCGACATGCGAGGGTCGAGGTGCAACAGGTGGATGAGACTGGACCTATTATGAATTTTGGACCAGCAGACATAGGCGAAGTCGAGAGACCGCACAACGATGCCCTGGTGATAACGGCCCAAGTGTCGGGTTATGAAGTGCATTGAGTGTTTGTCGATACTTAGAGCTCGGTGAATGTGATCTTTTATGATTGCCTCAAAAAAATGGACCTCGACATCCAACTCACACCCTTGCATACATCGCTCTTTGGATTTAATGGATCGGAAGTCGCAACTCTAGGAGAAACCATACTTGCTTTCGTCCTGGGGGAGGGCGACTTGAGGAAGGTGAAGATGGTAAGATTCGTAGTGGTCAATGTCAAGTCGGCTTATAACGTAATTTTGGGGAGGCTCGCGCTTAACGCCTTCTAGGCAGTAGTATCGACTTATCATATGAAGTTAATATTCCCAATTGGAGATCGAGTGGGGGAGGCTCGAGGAGATCAAAAATTTTCAAGAACCTGCTACCAGATAGCATTAAAAACCAACCAACAAGCTGAGATTAAATAAGGAAAGAAACCTATGTCGAGCGAGAAAAGGCCGAGAGGGAGTGATCCCGAGCCACATGGAGAACTGATGGAGATACAAATTGGAGAGATGGAGGATCAGACCACCAAGGTCGGGAAAGATCTGGAGGACGAGTTGCGTAATCAACTTGTCGCACTACTGAAAGAGTTCTGGGATATATTTGCCTTTACCCCTGAGGAGCTGACAGGGATCAACCCCGAGGTCATGGAGCATAAGCTCAATGTCGACCCCTTCAGGAAGCAGGTGAAACAACGACTTAGACACCATGGAACTGAGATCGACAGGGCAATTGAAGTCAAGGTGGATAAGTTGCTGGGAGCAGGACACATCAAAGAAATCCAATTCCCATAATGGATATCTAAAACGGTGATGGTGAGGAAGGCGTTGAACAAGTGGAGCATGTACATCGACTTTCGAGACTTGAACCTGGCGTGCCCGAAAGATCACTATCCACTGCCAAGAATCGACCAGCTATTCGACTCCACAGCTGGTTGCGAGCTGCTAAGCATGATGGACGCATCTCAAGGATATCACCAAATCCACTTGGCCCCGAAGGATCAAAGCAAAGTGAGTTTCGTGACGAGGAAAGGGACATATTGTTATGTCGTCATGCCCTTCGGGCTCAAGAATGCAGGGGCGACTTATCAAAGATTGATGAATAGAATGTTCAAACTAAAAAATGGCATAATATAGAGGTGTACGTAGACGACATCTTGGTAAAAAGTAGGTCCTCGACCTCACATACGGACGATTTGAGAGAAACATTCACAATATTTAGACTGTTCGGGATTAAGCTGAATCCGAGCAAATATGCCTTTGGAGTAAAGATCGGTTAATTTCTGGGATACGTCGTGACAGAGTGGGGGACTAAGGTGAACAAGAAAAAGGTGAAAGCCATACTCGACATGGCTTCACCAAGGAATATCCGAGAAGTATAAGTTTTGACAGGCCGAATAGCGGGGTTGAGTAGGTTCATTGCTCGAGCCGTTGAGAAAAGTTTCCCATTCTTTAAACTGCATAAAAATAAGACGACTTTCATATGGAGCGAGGAGTCTCAGATGGCGTTTGAAAAATTGAAGGAGTTCTTAAGCGAGTTACCCTTGTTGACAAAACCTAAGCCCAATGACGAGTTGGTGCTTTATATCTTAGTCGGGATGGCATCATTAAGCTTAGTGCTACTTCAGAAGGATGGGGGTTCCCAACAACCTATCTATTATACAAGTCGAGTAATCCAAGGGACCGAGACAAGGTAGTCTGAAGTCGAGAAAGTCGCTCTAACTCTGGTCGTAACGGCAAAGAAACCGAGGCCGTATTTTCTAAATCATACAGTGGTGGTGAGGACAAATTTTTAGCTCGGAGAAACATTGGGATGACCTACGGTGTCAGGTCAACTTGTAAAATGAGTTGTCGAGCTAAGCGAATACACCATCAAATACGAACCCAGATGGGCGATCAAAGCCCAAGCACTGGCCGATTTCATCCAAGAATGTACTAAGGGAGAAATAAAGAAATGGATAATGCATGTTGATGGATCTTCTGCGGCCAAAGGATCGGGTCTGGGAATCGTCCTCATATCCCCCGAGGGCGAGCAACTAGACTTCTCCATCAGAATAGGGTTCAAAGCCTCGAATAACGATGTAGAATATGAGGCACTGATCAAAGGAATTCAACTCACAATCAGCGGAGGAGCGACTGAGATAATGGCACACTCCGACTCACAAATCGTAGTCGGACAGGTGATGGGAACTTGCAAAATCAAAGAAGAGCGATGATGAAATGTGTCGAGGAAATCCAAAGCCTCGTGCAAGGGTTGGAGAAGTTTGACTTGATACAAATACTCTGGGGCGAGAATAAACGAGCCGACTGGCTGGTAAGAATTGCGAGTTCAAATGACGGGAAGGTGAGAAATCGCATCACCACTATGCACCTCGAATGAAGTGTTTTATGTGAAACAATAGAAGTCGACGAAAATGACGATTGGAGGAAGTCGATACGTGAAATCTTGCAGGGTCGAGTGCCTTCAGGAGATAAACAAGAGGTGAAAAAAGTCGCTCGATACTTAAGTAAATACTTTGAAGTCGATGGGATCTTATATAAGAATTCGTTGGTCGGGCCCCATCTGCGATGTGTTTCTGAGGAAGAAGGAATTCATGTCCTAAGAGAGATCCATGAAGCATGTTGTGGAGCACACGTAGGATCTCGAGCTCTAACTGGAAAAGCCCTACGAGCAGGCTACTATTGGCCTAAGATTCGAGCAACGGCAGAACAGTTGGTCCAGAAATACGAAAAATGCCAAGGCCATGGGCAAATCACTCAACATCCCAGTTGAATACATGACGACAATCAACTCCCAGATCCCCTTTGCTCAATGGAGAATCGACTTGGTGGGCCCGTTGCCGATGGGAACGGGATGAAAGAAGTTCTTGGTGGTCTCAATCGACTACTTCAGCAAGTGGGTCGAAGCAGAACCCTTGGCTCGAATTACTGAAGAAAAGATGATATGGTTTATATTCAATAACATTTGCTGTCGATTTGGAATTCCAAAAGTACTAATCTCAGATAACGGAACTCAATTCCAAAGGAAACGGATCCAAGCATGGCGCCTCGACATGGGGATTAAGCAACGATTTGCCTCAGTTGCACATCCTCAGGAAAACGACACAGTTGAAGTAACAAACAGAACCATCCTCCAAGGGTTGAAGAAGAGATTGGAGAAGGCGTCAGGAGCTTGGGTTGGCGAGTTGACAACAGTCCTATGGGCTTATAGGATGACTTCGAGAAGTTCGACGGGTCAATCTCCATTTCACATGATTTACGGGATGGATGCACTCTTGCCCATCGAAGTCGGATTGAACTTTCACAGGTCGACATTTTATGAAGAAAAGAAAAACGAGGAGATGATCATAGAAGCCCTCGACCTAATTGAGGAGGGATGAGAAGAAGCTTGGGTACGATCCATCGAGTACAAACAGAAGATGCGCGCAGCTTTCGATAAGAAGGTTCGAACCAGACGTTTACAAGTAGGGGATCTCATCCCTAAACAAGAAGACGCTCTCAAACATGTCGGAAAGCTCGAAGCTAATTGGGAAGGACCCTACACTGTCAAAAAGGTGCTCGAGAATGGCGCATACGAACTCAAGGATGGAGAAGGTCGACAACTGCCATGATCCTGGCACGTGATCCATCTCAAACGATTTTACGCTTAAGGCAATGTTTCAAACTCCTTTTTGTA